CCCTGCTACCACTACCTGAAGTTGGAAAGTATCCGTCAGGTTTAGACACTATCAAAAACAATAGATATTGACTTCTCGGGTCATCCATTGATCGGTTTACTTAGGGTCCCTGGTACGATCTTTGTCGTATTGAAGTCTGACCCATTTTGAAGTAGTCCCCCTTCAGAGCCTGAGGACTCTCTACAAATGATTTGTTTACACGCTTTCTAACAGCACAGATTAAATGGACATACGAAAACATATATTGGTATCCTGAGCCTGTACCTACGCCGTTGAATCCATTTACCTGTTCTTGGCCCTCTTCCTTGCAGACTTCTCTCGCTCGTATGCATTCGCCTCGCGACCCTCCTCGCTTTGAATCTCGGCAACAAGACGCTTGTACTTTTTCTCGTACGCCTCGTCCTTTGCCTTCTTGATCCGTAACTTCTCGCGTGCCATGAAGTTGGCGTCCTTGCGCAGCTCCCGAAGGGCACCCTTGCGTTCCTTCTTGTGCTCCTTCTTGAGCTTGGCCAACTCTGCTCGCTCTCGGTCGGGGTCGTAGTGCTTATCAGGATCGAATGTCTCCTCGAACTTGGGTACATAGGTTTTGATTGCCAAGGGCCGATGATGATGTAGCTCAACATTGCGGCGCGATAGTTGCGCAACCTTAAGCATGCGGCCGAATTTGACTTGCAACTTCTCGATTCTTTCATTGAGAGTAGTAGGTAATTGTGACCTGCAGGTTTTGCTGCCGAGGTGTTTGAGTACGCTCGCAGCCTGTCCAAATGTCTCGAGGAATGCACTCTTCCCAGTCCATGTATCTGCTGCAGTTTCTATAACTTGTGCTGTGGTATCGAGAATAGCGACCTTGCGGGCTATCGTTTCTGTCTTTTTGGCCTCTTGCTCGATGCAGTCTGAGAAGTTGAGTCTCCGTGACTCTGACTTAGTCGCAGCTTCTATGCGGATGCCCTCAGGAGCGATGTGAAGAGGAAAATCCCCGACCTTCTTGGAAGTGGCAACAGGGGCCAGGGCCAAGAGCGTATTCAGAGAGAAGTTAACAACTTCGGGCACGTAGCGCTTAGCAAGTTTCTGGTAGCTGACAGCAAGGATACAGAGATATGTCCCAATAGCATAATGTGCCAGGTTTTGTGGTACTCTTTGGCCAAGGTATCGAGTGATGGTCAGCACAGCAGGAGTGACGACTTGGTGGAAGTGATCGGAAGTAGGGAAGATGGTTCCAACTGCAGAAAGCAAAACCAAGTCTCCGGTTCCTAGTGCCAAGGGTCGAGACTCTCCCATCTCCTCAAGATTCTTGCGGAACTGCTTACTAATTTCGATAGGGAACATCTTTGCCAGAGAGTGGATGTGTCGGACAATGCTTTCGAGCACCGCAAAAGGGGCAGAAGTGGCAGGGTCCCAGGGCAGACCGATGTAGTCAACTAAAGCACTTGCAAAGTTGCCAAGCTTCTCCTTGTTCATACTGCTGAGCTTGGGATGATAGAGGGCACGAATCCTCTGGACAATTGTAGGGAAGGTCTTGGCTGGGTATGGTGCCAGAATGACTCGCAATTCATCGCAAGACTGAGGGCATTCAAAGGTGTAGGGGAGGCCTTGCTCGTCGCCCTGCTGAATCGCCGAGGCTTTTGTTGTCGAGTCGGCATCGAAAACAGGATTTCGGCTCTCTTCCTCATTAAGCAAGCCTTTTGTAAAGTCATCCTCCTCATCCTCAGCTTCCTCATCAGACACATCCTCCATGTCTGATTCACCCTCACTGCCGAGTTCCAGGTCCGAGCCGCTAGCCACGAGATCATCGTCGATCACGAAATCATCTTCATCGTCAAAGCCAAGCTCAGTAGCAGTAGGACGAGCTCGGATACCGCTGCCCAAGCCAAAGTTTTCCTCATCGTCCAGGTCCATAGCATCAAGCTCAGGCTTCTTGCCTTTGTTGTCGAGTTCTTCATCCTCGCTGTCACTGACTGACTCTCCCCTCATGCGCTTCTGGCGCTTGTCTTCGAGCTTCTTGAGTCTTGTAGACTCTTCTTCAGCCTTCTCGTCCTCAGTCTTGGTGCGGTCGGCAGGCTGTGCCCTCTTATCCTGAGCCAATTTCTTTACTTGAAGATCAAAGTTCTTCTCGAAAGCGTCTCGGTCAACTCCAGCGATGGTGGGTTTTGCAAGCCCCTCGTTCTGAGGCTTGGCGCCTGGCCGGCTGTGGTGCAACATGTACTGGATGTTTTGCAACTCCTTGTCAAGTTTCTCTCGGAGCTCTTCATCCTCCTCCTTTGCAGCTTGTCGCTCGTACTTGTAGTGTTTGGACTTGGCGATAACCTCCTCCATCACCTCCTTCTTCGTCTTTTTTCGTTCCGGTTCATCGTCCTCGCCATCACTACCTTGGGCTGCTATTGCACGAATACGCTTCAATCTCTGCTGTTCACGCACCGAGCCATCACTTTCGTAGTCCTCCTCGAGATCATCTTCTTTGAAATCGTCCATATCGTCAAAGGAAAGAGACTTGCCCATGTGGGTCAAACCTTCTGAAGCATCGTCGTCTTCCAAATCAAACATTGAGTTCTTCTTGTGACTTCTCTGCTTCTCTCGGGCAAATCGCTCAAGCATCTTATCTTCGGGGGCCATTGTGGGATCGTTTTCACCGAATCGACGATCGAGAATTCCGCCAACCTTGTTGCGGCGTTGCATCTCGACCAGAAGGGTTTGACGGCGCTTTATAGAAGTTAGTTGATTCTTCATGAAAACCTGATTTATGATTATATCGAGGTCGGCTTGGATTTCAATAGTGATGTGAGCAGATCGTGTCACCTCCACTACCCGATGGCGCCTCGCGAACAGAATGTTGGAACTTACCCTCTCCTCGCTGGCTGCTTTTGCCTGACCAGGACGACCCTTGATGCTGCCAGCAGTCAACATAGGCCGGTTACTCGTAACTTCGAATTTTGGGCCCTTGGCATGCTTAAGATCGAAAGGATTGAATTGCTCGCGAATCCCCTCCAAGACCACTCCGCGCTGAAGTCGTTTGTCATTTCGAGAGCGCTCATCCTGAGCATTGCGTCGTTTCTGCTTCTTCGATTGCTGAGGGCCGACAATTCCTTGCTCTTTGAGGGACGCCTTGAGGCGTTTGAGCTGGGAGCCGGCCATTGCGACTGATAATGCTGCTGATGCGAAAGCTGCACTGGTAGCAGCAACTCTCAGTTTTTTTGCGATGGAAAAAAAGTCTTATCGTTATCAAGCTCCATGTGGGGCGGGCCCGCATGCGAAGCTACGCGTGGGTAGTCTAACCTTATTTGAACATGATACGGTGGTGAGCTATGGCAGAATCCTTTCCCTCAGGATGACTTGGACAGCCATGAAGAACTCATCTACCAATACTTTAGTGAAGCATGAGCTCAATCAACAGACTCAACCAAGATGGGATGGGCTGATAGCCTCCTAAGCTTTGCTCGTGATGAGAGGGTTGTTCTTGTCACCTTAGGCTTTGCCACCTTTAGTGTAGTGAGTACTGTCTTCACTGCCCTCACCATCATAAGAGACGACAACGAAATTCCGCCACCACAGCCAAAGACACAATACATCACTCAAGATACGGAAGACTCGTTGGAACTCGAAACGCTTGAGAAGCTATTAGATCACCCGAATTATTCTATACGAGAAGTCGCGATTAAGATCCTTTGTGATCGGGCCGTGAACGATTCCGAGACAACTCACATATTGCTATTCGGCATCACTCGACCAGATTATGATGAGAGGATGCGGTGTCTTCGGGCTTTAGCCCTTCTCACTGGACAGACTATTGGTGAGTTTTGCAGATGAAATCATGAGATACAACTGACACTTCAGGGCTGGATGGACTTTCAAAGTTGAACAATCCCAAAGCCTACTCAGCTCTTGTCCGTTCTCTGGAGCTGAGCCTGGATGATACCGAGCGACCGAGTCTCACTGATAGCCATTGGGATGAGTATTATCTTCGCGACATGGCCGAGAGGTTCTGCTTGATGTTCATCTTGGAGCTCGCCAATAAGTACGGTGCCAGTATGCTAGTTAAGGCACGCTTTGTCGAGAAATGGTTGGCAAAGCAGGAATGGGGCGATACTCCGGAAGAAAGACGCCGAAGCTTCAGGGATTATATGGCACTCAAGACAAATAGGATTGTGGAGATTGTCGATCGAATCAAGGAGTCAAGACGAGGCCTCAGGGCTCTGGAAAAGGCAGGGCTCATGGATAAGGAGAATTCCAGAAGGAGAATTCGTGAACTCCCAGACCTGATTATGGAGATCGAAGAGGAGGCGGGAAACTTACCGCTTGTCGAACAGCAAGTGACACGAACCAGAGAACATTCAGCCGAAGAGCAAAGGCTACGACGGCAACATCGAGAAGCGATGGTTCTTAACGATGGAACTCGACCACTGGCGCGCGAGGATATTATTGAGAGAGAGCATACGTCTCCTGCATAGGATTTGTGAGGAAATGATACCCAGTATTAATACTACTACAAAACGTTTGAGCAAAGCACTGTCATTGAGTTGAAGATGAGCCACGCCCCAGCTGTTGACTACACATCTACATCTTTCTTCAAGTGAGTGGGTTTTCTCTTTACCCTTCTACTGTCTAACAGGTACTCTGCCTGTCTCAAAACGACAAAACTTCGCCTAACGTCACATAAAACGCTACATGGAATAAAAAATGAGAAATTTGCAAACAAAACCTCCAATCTCCCTGCCTAGTTTATGTCCTTTTTCTGTCTCTCAGTCCTTGTCGCATCTTTACAGTTCTTTTTTCACCCATCTACGACTGAGGCCAGGGAAACGAAGCAAATAAGTATTCATACCATTCTTACCCCCTCTTCTAGTGTATTTGCAGGCCCAATCTTGCTCTCCAGCCAGTCAAACCCTCGGTCCGGAAGTAGTCTTAAGAGCCTCCCCAATTCAAGCATCAAAAAAGCTAGCCTTTTCGGACAGGAGGTTTGCAAGATCATCTGGATCGGTTGAAGATTCGTTGAGGGTCGCCGCTTTCTAGATCGTGCAAGGCAATTTCATCTCTCTAGTACACAGCTCTTCTCGTAATGTATCAATGTACTCATCATCGAGGGGAGTCAGAATCTCATTGTTATCAACTGGCCTGCGAGCCAGTTGTTGGGCATCGAGAGGCAAACTCGTCATCATTTGCATCCGATTGTTCCAAAAGTCATAATCATCACCCTTTCCTAAGAATAACAAAAAGACTCTCAGCACGTTCGGATCCCTCCTACCCAATGCTGGACACTGCAGTACTGCAGGTACAAAATTTTGCCATGCCTGTGGTGAAGCTAGATCAGCAAACTGGAATAGAGAAACTATTAACTGACTCCACCGAAGAATCAGCTCAGGATCCAGAGTACCTTCGAGGTAGCGAAACTCAACGGTCCCTTTACACTCATCTTCAGAGCCTTCACCAAACTCATCAAAGGAGTGGCACTTGGAAAGACCTAAGCAAGACTTTGAGCCCATGATGGGAGTTATAAGAAACTTGAGCAGTTGTAGAGTTTCGGTCGTCCAGAGCTTCTTCAGAATCCCCAAGGTACGGCGGTCGATGACCTTGTGGACGGGAATGTACTGTTCAAAGTCAGCTGGAACATCCATTTCCGACCACTGATCGGTACATAGAGGTTCTAGTAATGATGCTAGACTCGGTACGTAACTTGACTCCCTTCTTTCAGGACAACAAAGGCGGTAAATAATGTTCTCTGCTAAATACATGAGGATAGAAACCTTACGCACGAGGTGTAACAGCATGGGCCCGGTGCCTTTGCCAACGTGGATGTGGAAGCCACATGATTTGCCTACTGTCAACCTGAAGTTGTTTCGCAGGATGGAGACCATATTCAGTACCTCTTCCCAGCACTGGGGCGTCGCTCTGAGAACGCGACGGATGATCTCCAAACCATTCAGCTGCTTGTACCCTCCCCATTCAGACATTCGGCGTAGCGATACATCGGTTCCAATGGTCCACGTCTGATATTGAGGGTCGATATCGTCAACAGGCACGATCCCATGACTGAGGAGCTTGCTCTCCCAGGACTTGCGGTCTAAATGCTCGTCCCACACCAGAGTCAACGGCCCTATAGAACTGATGGTTTCTTTCATTAAGTCAACTCTTTTGGGGAATCGCTCGGCACGGCTGAGTTCCCTGCCATCGTTGGGATGAGGATCGGGCCGGCCCTCATGTGGTAGCAAAACTGGCATGTACAATTCGAGCTCGATACCAAAATAGTAGCTTTCTTTTCTTGCATAATTTTGTAAGTCTTCTCTTCTGTCGGTTGGGCGGCTAGATTTTTGGAAATGCGATGCAAATGGTTGTCCCGAAGACAAAATTGGAATCGCACGGAGCTCCTTAGGGGGCGCAGCCCTTGCGATAGGATGCCAATATCTCAGATCTGACACTTTAAGATGTTTTGGTTGTGGCTGGATACATTTGGACAACTCCCCCAAGCCTTGCTCTTTAAGAAAGTCGTGAATCGTAGAGCAATATCTCAGATTGGTATATGATTCGTAGAAGAAGGTATCAGATTTGTTGAGGCAGTGTTGAGTGAGTCTGACGCATAAAATAGCCCAGAGAGATGTCTCCAGCATATCGAGTGTTCCACAGTGTTGTCTGAATTCGATAACAACAGTCGTCTTGTTCTCCAGGAAACAATAAGCAGGGCTCGCATTGGGGTAGCGTCCCGCCTCGCCATAAATTGCCAAATCCATGAGATACATCAAATCTTGGACGGATGTAGCATCCAAACTTCCGCGGGTCCTATGGCGATACTTCGTATCCCCCAGATCTCCTGGATGCGGTAGAAGCTCCAGTGGTTTCCGGTCAGAGGAGAGGCGATTATCCCAAGGATCCTCAACCTGGACTGCGGACAGCATCTCAGCCTGGAGATCAATGGCATCGTCCCTAGCAAGATTAGAATACTGTAGCCCTAGTGAATAGAGTGAGTTAGGTCCACAGTGAACAGGATGAACATCACTCGACAGCGGGTCTACCAGCCAAAGCATGGATACAATGGCCTTCGTCGAGTCCAGACTGACGAGAAGTTTCGGTATAAACACTTTGACCACCAGGCGTGTCTCTGCATTGGGAACAGCGAGGAGGCCCTTGATCATGATGCCCATGACTGTCTTCGAGTCTGTTCCTGGAATACAGGTCTCGGGTCGGAAAAGGGGAGATTTCAATCTCATACCGACCCATTCATACTCTTTGCATTGATCTTCGTTGATCAGTCCATCGTATTCCACTGTCCAGGACTCGGGTTTATTCTTGACCTTTAAGCCTCTCCGAGGGTTTGCCGTCGTGAGATTACTGGCATGTAGCGCCATCTCTAAATGATCGATAGCCCATTGTGCTCGAAGAAGATGCTCTCGAGATCGATAGCAATACTCTTTTGCATCCTCTGGAAGGCTGGCCTACCCGGTAGGGGGGAAAGGTAGTGGTCTGTATGGATGGTTGGGGTACTCGCCATGCCCAATATCAACTCCGTCAGCAGGGTTGTGGCAAACTGCAAGAAGAAATCCAAGTTGCACTTGGAAGGTTATGGAAGCCATGGCAACTTCTAAGAAACTATCTCGGTCTCCTTTCGAAAGGACCCTGCTATGTATGATTTGTTCGATGAAGGAATCCGTTGTCGTATCTCTCTTCGCAATTATCTTGCAGAGCTAAGTACACAACAGGGTTTAGAGGGAAAGGATGATGGGTTGAGAATAAAAAGAGAGTTATATAATCGCAGCAGCAAGTCCAGGGACATCCTGAGAATGTTCTTGTTTCTCACAATCAGCAGCAGTGACCCGTCACCTGTTCTCTAGTCACACCCAGAACATCAGGTTTCTTGTTGAACAGTGGCTGTTTGCTCTCGGTAGATCTAAAGTCCAAACTGGATTCTTTGGTCACTGGCAAAGATATTGTGGGATGTCACATTGAAGAGTTCGAAAAGTACCAATGCATATTCTCATTAGGTCAATATGCCATTCCATTGTATTGAAGGGCGACCTCGCCCTGTGCGGATGCGTCTGGGCCTAATCTACTCTCTTGTCTTCTCTTCATCTGCGGCGTTCTTGAGTTTCTTCAGAGGCTCCAAGCCAAATATCTCATCTGAGTTCAAGGGGTTTCGACTCTCAGTAACTTCGCCGAATAGGAAGGCATTCTTCTCACGACTTGCGCTGTTCGACATCTTTTTCTTATGCTGGGGCGGTGGTGACTTGCTGGACGCTGGAGACGCTTTTGAAGACCCCGACTCGTCTGGCTCCAGCATCCAGGAGAAAGAGGATTGCGCCAGTGTTGAACGAGTAGGTACGGGAGCTGGCCGTGACGGAGCCAATAAGTTTGCAGATTTGCCATCGTCGCATGGTACTATTTCCATACGATCAGAGCTAGGGGGTCGTGCTGACTCGCTCTCAGAGGATTTCTTTGATTCGGATATTTGAAGAGCCGATATGTCAACCTCTGTAGATGCCACTGACACAGGCTCAGGCTGAACGATAGTTGTTTCAGCTACAGCCACTTCTTGTGCGCTGTCCTCGGGTGGTGGAGATTGCAACACCGGGACCTCCATAGAAGAATTGTCCAAGTAAATCTTGACAAACTGCACCTTGGCCGCCGCAATCTCGATGAGCTCCAGGCTTTTAGCCTTGTCGTCGAGATTCGAGGCAGATATAGCTTTGAGGCTATCAACCGTCTCATCAAGCATCGCGGCAAGTTGCTGGTTCCGCCTCTTCAATGCTACCAGGCTCTGGGCTGAGTCTTGATTGTTTATCAGGGGTTGCGGAGATCTAGGTGCAGATCTGGCCTCGTTCAGATTTCGCTTGATCTCTCCCATAGCATCTCGTACGGCTTGGTTGATACCCAGCTTTTCGCCTCTTTCGTAAACTCCTTTGGCTCCTTTGGCAGCGCCCTGAAACAAAGCCTCCATGCCACCCTGTTGTTGAAGGAAGCGGGATGGGGATGATATCTGTGGCCTTGGGCCTGGTCCTCTGTGCTTAAAAGAGTTGAAACCACGAAAGCTCGGAGTGCCTGCTCGCGAGGCCTGTGGTGGAGAAGATAATGTCGGCATCCTTCCAGTATATTTCATAACCAGTGATGATCCTCCAGATGGTGAAAGATGGTCCCTCAGGTACAGAGCATCATCAACAAATGTATGAGGACCGTGAGCTCCTGATGGAGGAGGGTATTTGAGAAGTAGTTGAAGGCAAACAGAATAATCGGCCTCTAATACTAAGAGGGGTGTTAGCCAGGGAGCATACAGTCTTTCGCCCAAGCAACTTACAATTCCACCGAATTCTAATCAGCATAGCAACACAAATGAGATCGATGAGTTCCAGGGTTGGATCGACAGCAAAGATAGTATCCCAGAGTACCAAAAAATGCTCAAAGGGGAACTCTCTGCTGAAGAGTAGCCGAATCCACCGACTAGGTATTCTGACGTCAGTAGCGGCGTTAGGGTAGGTGCATGGGTTAATACCTACATGAGAAAGATCTGTGGTAAGATTTCAATGTTGGTTAGATGAGTAGCCAGTTCCGGGTCAACTTTCTGTAGGCAGACTTCGTGGATGAATTTGCTTCGCTCAACAATCGCCGAGCTTTGTTCTGCAAACTTGGGGGGGCGCAAAGAACTTCCTGGTGCTGGAATAACATCCTTGACTTCGTAAAACGATTGGGCACGTTCCATAAGTTTCGAGAACAAGACAAAGGCGTCGTGCTCGATGAAAGAGTGGTCGAGAGTTTTGATAAGAGCATCATCCAGAGGAATCTCTTCTGGTAAAGTCGTTGGATCCACGGCATCCTGCTCAATGACATGTAGAATAGGCGCAAGCAACTCATGCATACCCTGCCGGTAGCCACCTCGCTCAGGATTTAGTTTACAGTACATAAACAGGATATCCAAGATGATTGACTGGGTCTGGTCTTCATGGTAGGAAGCTTCATCGGGGAGTCGCTGAACGTCTTGCTGGATCTCAGCACGGACAACCTCATCTTGACGAATGGTATTCCATGGAGACTTTTGCATATCATACAAATCAGTTAAACGGTTACGTTCCAGTTTGGTCGGCCTTACACTGGGGTCCTCTGTCAAAGGATCGATGTTCAGCTCTGCAAGAGCTTCTGGGTGTTTTATATACTTGAGGAAGTGATCCCGTTTCTCAGCATAGAGCTTTCTTTCATCGTCCAAAACTTGAGACCAGCTCAACCCTTCAGCAGCAGTAGAAAGAAGAAAAGTCTTGGGGGTGAAGGTTTAGTTGTGGACTTCAGTCAATGGGCATAGGTGAACATACCTTCCAACAAAGAGAACGACATCCTGATATGCATGGACTTGCGGGACCATTATACCGAACAGCACGTCGAAGATCGCCAAGATGCGCACCTTGGGATTGTGTCTCACGCCATCTCGAACTACGTAGGGGTGCTCTGGTCAGTCGAAGTATTATTTGTTGTCGCTAACAGGCGCAACATACAGGGACTCTTGGAGGGGTCGCATGATGCCTGGCTGCACCAAAAGAAGAGTATAAGGACAGTTTACCGGCTTTGCGGAAAAGGCCTGAACCGAGAGTAATAACGTTGTGTGTAGACTACGGCACTGTAAAGTTGATGGCGGAGGATGGACAGAAACCTTGATTTGACGTTAACGTAGGTTAGTAGTTGAGGTACCTTACCAGCTAACGTGTTGGCTCTTAAGGTTCAATTGGGTCTTTGCCTCAATAGCTCGGCCCCACTTCCTCACTACCTAGGTACCTTACCTAGGTACCTTGGGTTGCCCTGGACTGCTTATACTGGAATCCGCTGCGCTGGCCCTCAGATTGCGGTACTGACGGGACCTAGGATCCAATGACCCCAGGACGCTGGACAGCCCAGGGGCTGACCGCCAAACAAATAGCATCATGTCACCACCACCTCCCACTAACTGAGGTTATTTTCGAATGCCACATCGTACTCAGCTCACCTCTTTGACGTCCCTCCTTAAGCCTCATCACTACCCTTAAGGGCATCTTACGACACGTGCTCTCGAAGTAATGCATTACTAGGCGATGCACTATGTCTGCAGATCTCCTTGCCGAGTTCAATAGTCTTTCAAATAACTCAGCGCCCGCTCCAGGTCAGCAGCAACAGCAACAGGCCACTCCTTTTCAAGCTCAAGCTCAGCAACAACGGGAACCTCTTCAACGGGCAGCAACACAGGACTTCTTTGGTTTGTTAGACAGCACTAGCAATGCCTCTCCTGTGAAAACCCAGCCATGGCCAGCCTTTGAATCCCAATCAAGTGCGCATAGCGCATGGGGAAGTGCCTCAGTACCGTCGAAGCCGGCGGAGACAAATGACGATGATGATGGATGGGGAGATTTTGAAGTCGCCGAGCCTTCACAAGCTGCAACAGTGAATACGGCTCCTGTTCAGACCTCGAGTCCTGTGCTGTTTTCCGCATCAGGTTGGGGTTCAACCGCAAATGCGCCCCCAATATCAGCAAACTCATCGCCAATACCATGGCCCAAGCCAGATCCAAGTTCGGCTGCAGCTGTAGCCCAGCGAGTGCCGGAAGTGAAGCAGCAACCGCCAACTCGAGTTGTGAGAGCGTCGACCATGGACCTATTATCCAACAGTCTCGTCGATATAGGAGGAGCTTCGAAGCCCGCTAGTGGCCCGAAAGCCCAGCCCTCTGGAACACAGTCACGGCTTACGCAAGAATGGGGACAGCCAACAGTTGATCAGGAGCCGCTACAGCGGATGAAGGCGAAACTCAAGCCTTCAGCCCAACAAGACCCCCGTGTATTGTTTGATGCCGAGGATTTTGAGCTTCAGGTTGCTGAAGGTGAAGATTATGACGACGACGATGATGAGTTTGGAGACTTTGAAGGTGTCCCTCCTCCGGCGACAATGAAAACGGCACCTGCAGGTACTGCCCAAGAACCACCAGCAGCTCCTCCCTCAATGGATCTTCTTTCTTTAGATGAACCAGCGCCCGCTTCATCGCAAACATCAAAAAAGCCACCGCCGACCAAGCTTCTCGGGCCTCTTGCTTTTGGTGCCACCGCTACGAATTATCCCCAGGCCCCAAAATCACCCTCCTTCCAGGATCGTAACCCATTCCCAGAATTAGCTATTAAAACACCTACATCTGAAGAATCAAAACCTGTCAAGAAACCCAAGGAAGAAACACCCACCACAGCATGGCCATCGTTTGAAAGTCCCAAGGGCGCGAATCTTGCCGGAACCAAGTATCAGGATGATGAGTGGGATGCCTGGGACGATTTTACTGCCGCCAATGATAATAAGGCAAACGCCAGCACAGGGAAAGCATCGGAGGGTTGGGATTGGGACGCAGTTGATAATGTTCAACCATCACATAAGGAATCCCAGGATGATGCCCCTCCACCAATCAATGTCCCACCTCCGTCAGTCATCCTGTCTGCATTCCCTGATCTTCTCAGCTCAGGTACAACTTTCTTCAAGCCTATGTCAGGTCACAGCACATCAATCAAACAGCGAATCCTATCGGATCCCAAAGCTACAGAATTCTTGCGTGGTTATATCCTCTTAGCAATAACTGCCGGACGAGTTATTGCTGGCCGTAAACAACGATGGCATCGGGATAAGATCTTAGCAAAAAGCATGTCCATCTCCGCTGCGGGAAGCAAGGGTATGAAACTTGCAGGAGTTGACAAAACACAGGCTGCACGTGAAGATCGTGAGGCCGCTGATGTGGTCGCTGTATGGCGCGAGCAGGTTGGTCGCCTGCGATCTGCAGTTGCTGCGGCCAAGTCTGTCGATAAGAGCCTGTCACTTCAGGTCCCTGAGATTAGCGAGAACATGCAAGTGCATACAGCCAAGATGGTACCGACAGCACCAAGAGCTTGTATAATCTGTGGTCTGAAGAGAGACGAGAGAGTAGCCAAGGTAGATTACGAAGTCGAGGATAGCTTTGGGGAATGGTGGCTAGACCACTGGGGACATAAGGCGTGTAAGAACTTTTGGATAGAGCATGAGCAAAAGCTAAGGCAACGATGAGAGGAGCGAATCCTGATATGTAGTCAAAGTAGCATTGGGCATTCTTGTTTCTGACAGTCGGATGCTGCCTCTCTATCGATACATCGGAACGGCAATATATGAAATCACTTGGCACGATGTTACTCACGGTAATACTCACTTGCAAGTTTGACAATAACTATGTGCCCTGCACGACAGGCCTTTGAGGTTGTCAGCCGAGATACTTGGTGTCTTTTGCTGCATTACTCCACCGGCTGTGGACATCCCACAACCAATCCCAGAGGCAGGAGATGCAGGAGGGTGATATAAAGTGTAATAAGCATCACTTATTAACCCTTGTCACAATGTGTTCGTGCGTTTCGAGCAACGGTGCGATGGAAAGGTATTGGCTATGGATTATCTGTGCTGCAGAATAACAAGCGAGCCGGCACGTTGCTAACGACATGCGGGAGCGGCCGTTGTACGGCTTTCAAGCTGGGGAGAGGGGGAAGGGGGAAATCCACTGGAGCCGAAGGCGAAGAGATTGATTCTATGAGAAGCATAGGAGGATAGTCGAGATATACTAATATTTCATCGCTATCAGTGGCGTGTTGCAACATCGGCGGCGAAACTAAAGCTGCAGCTCCCTGTTGATTATCACGAAGAATGTCCAATGAGGTTGCGAAACTTGACCTTTGATCTGCCATTGGGTTTTCTTCAACACCGCATCACGGTGATATGATAGTTGAGATGCTCTCGCCCGCCAAGATCTTCTCACTCCCTTGTCCTCCCTGTACTTGGCACCATTATGATGCATCTAGTATCAGCCTGATAGAGCGATCAATGGAACAATGCAGCGCTAATCTGCTGTGGGCGATGACAAAACTCACAAAGTCAATGCTCACTTCCGTGGCCCACTCCGGCCCGTGTGGGTGTGCTGAAAAACTCCCGAGTGACGAGGTTGCCAGGGAGTGTGGGCTTTGGAATTGGTGGGCAGAAGGGAAGGGAAAGAAGCCAGGAACTTGGTAGGTTCGCTTGATTCCCAGACAGGATTAGTGGAATATGCCAAGAAATCATGGCCTTCCACTGGCATTGCGTGTGTGACACGGCTATTGTGAAATCGAAGACAACCACGCTTAGCATGAGACCGGTCTGTCTGTCTACCTTAGGTTCGTTAGCCTCGTTCCTAAATGCCATTGCCAACGTGTGTATGTACCTTATACTACGAAGCCAGGAATATATCCTCAATTTAGAGCTCTCTTTCCCTAGCATTGAAAGGGGGGTCGAGCATTATGACTATCATAACCGTTCGTGCCTGTCCCGTCCCGTCAGTTATGGCTACTACCTTACCTACCTATCTAACGGCGCCGTTGTGGTACACAGATACCCTCCCACTAATCTCTCAGATGATTCAAGTAGGCAAGGCAAGGTACAGTAGCTAGAGTAGTCGGTATGTAAGAGCTTCAGTATTATGATTCTAGGTGTTTGCCCTCCTATAACAAGGAGACTTTGAGATCGAAGTGTTGAGCTTGTCCTTGACAGAGCTAACAATAGATGGATATATTACGAGTATGCCCACAAAAGAAGTGTTTATTGCCTTGAGTTGGGTCCATGCACGGGTGTGGGTAACAAAGCTTCGGTACTTTCCATTCAGGTATAACTTCCCCTCACCTGCGTGACCATGTAACAGTAAATATATGACGGTTGCGAGGGCAGTACCGAGTAGAGTACTTGTTTCACAAGTGTCTTGTCGCTTCTACTGTGTGTTCTTTCCCCTCTATTGATGTGTTGCCTGTTTTACTCCACTCCATTTACAGGCTCGTGGTGCCACCTCAGGCAGGAAGAAAACTCAAGACTTAAAAAGAGGGTGCTAAAATAAACTCAGTAAAGAGTCCCCTGTATTCAAGGCCAAACGACCTAAATATTTTTATCGTCTAGGGTCAAGGTCCTGAGTTCTCTTTCCTCCCCTAGCAGACCAAGGCACTGTGACCTACCTACTTACCTAGGTCGATTTTAGTTGCTTGGTTGGCAGGTACAGTAATACTGGAACACTCTTTCTGTGTGGTCAGTGGTCGGTCACTCGCAGTTTTTAGCTGTCTTAGGTTGGTCCTGGCCCTGGCCATTCAATTGCTTTCCCTTACAATAGGTGCAATACCTTCTTAGCTTAAGTGCCTTGGGTTAGTACCTAGCCCATGATTTCCATCTCTTGTTCCTCATCTTCTATCCTTCACCCAACTTACACATCTCTCTCACCTCACCTTTCTCTCGCCTTCACCACCTCTCTTCTTCCTTTCCCTTCCCTTCCCTCCAGCTTTCTCACCTTCCTCCCGCTCTCCTCACATTCCCCTCTTCCTACCGTCGACTCTCCTTCGCCTACGATACATTACATCAGCTGTTGACGCACGCCTCCCGCGTATCGTTCTGTAAGGTAGCCCGCTTTCACAGCCAGAGTGCTTGCGACCCTTGACCCCGCTATCCCGCTTCGCGTAAACGACCGCAAGAAAAAAACACACTGCACCACCTCCCCATCTTCCTACCCCCGCCTTCTCCAGCACACTTGGACGTCTTCGCAGTTTCCGCAGCGTCGACGATAAGGTTAGTACACTCGTCATAACTTAGTCCTACCTTGTCTCTCCGGAGGATATGCCCTTCAATATTGTCATGAAGGCAGGCACTTGTATCTGCTCTTCTCTGCTCTGCCGTTCTGAACGTGCACCGCAAATGAGGGATGCTCATTAGACCCTTGCCTCCAACAATGGTGATAATGGAAGAATACATACTGACAGCATTTTAGATCCGACCAGACATATCCTACCCGCGTCTGTTCGTTCTCCTCCAAACGATCCGCTTCCAACTCGAATCACGACTTCTTCTCCGCGTGGACCCCGACTTAACTACTGCAAAATGTCGGCACCTCAGGATTCTATTCCCGGCAACGGAAGCGACATTCTCGATCAGATGGATCAGCTTAGAATGGATGACCGCCTTGGCCCTGATGGCGAACCCGCCCCTAAGACGGACGAGGAGTATGCCCAGGCCCAGCTGACCCTTCGTGCGATTGTCTCTTCCAAGGAAGCAGGTGTCATTATTGGCAAAGGCGGCAAGAACGTTGCCGATCTCAGAGACGAGACTGGCGTCAAGGCCGGCGTCAGCAAAGTTGTACAGGGTGTTCATGACCGTGTTCTGACCATCACCGGCGGTTGCGACGCTATTTCTCGAGCCTATGCGATTGTCGCTCGCGCTCTGCTCGAAGGTGCCCCCGCTATGGGTATGGGAGGTGTGGTTCAAAGCAACGGTACCCATCGTATGTGGCGATTTCTGCCAAAGGCAACCGAACCTTGGAATTTCTACTAACTGAAGTCTCAGCAATTAAGCTCCTCATTTCACACAACCAGATGGGAACCATCATTGGAAGACAAGGTCTTAAGATCAAGCACATCCAGGATGCTTCTGGTGTCCGTATGGTTGCCCAGAAGGAGATGCTCCCTCAATCCACTGAGAGAATAGTCGAAGTTCAGGGCACTCCCGAGGGTATTCAGCGCGCTATCTGGGAAATTTGCAAGTGCTTGGTCGATGATTGGCAACGAGGCACTGGCACCGTCCTCTACAACCCTGTGGTCCGTACTCAGCCATCTGGCAGCGGAAACGCCAGCGGTGGTGCTGGATTCAGCCAAGGCTCCGGTAGAAGCGATTATGGTGGCAGCCCTCGTGTCATGCGAACAGGCAACGGCGCCGATTTCAGCAACGGTAGCTCGAGGCCGTACAACCGCCGTTCCGACTCTGACGCAGCCCTTCGCGGCCCGCCAACACACGATGAAAATGGTGAGGAGATCCAGACTCAAAACATCAGCATCCCCGCGGACATGGTTGGCTGCATCATCGGTCGTGCCGGTAGCAAGATTAGCGAGATCCGAAAGACATCTGGCGCCCGTATCTCTATTGCCAAGGTAAGCAATTTTCGCCTTCTCCACCTCCCCCCTTTTTCCATTCATGTTGAGCACGAATGAACATAGCTGATTGCCTGAATCATAGGCACCTCACGATGAGACTGGCGAGCGCATGTTCACCATCATGGGCACCGCCAAGGCCAACGAATCGGCGCTATTCCTTCTGTACGAGAATTTGGAGGCGGAGAAGATGCGCCGAAGTCAGCTCCAGGAGCCCGAGTAGGCGACTGATGTTTCTTTCTTTAAAAAAAAAAAACCCCTTTGAGTTTTGCTTTTCTCGTGTTCCTTGCGACTTGCAGAGGTCAGTTCTGGCAAGATGAGCTGGGACACGTCCAGATCTGACTTGCCGCGAGGCTTGTATTTTCATTTTCGGACGATACCAGACGACAGCGTCACGAGCGACCAATCCACTTGTCCAACCATTTGGCCCCTTCCATCCACCCAAAAACGAAACCTTCATCTTCAGTCCTCGTCATCAAATTCGTTTTCCTTTCATGATTCTTCCCTCTCGTTACCATTGCTATGCTGCAACACCACAGTCAGGGGTCAGCTTGGGTTGATCTTAGCTCATACCTTGGTTGCCACCTGGTTCCCTCCTCTGAATCAATCACCCTCTTTGTGGCGCGATACATCACTATTCAACTCTGTAGCATATCTATCCATCTGTACCAGTTTTTCTCACCGACTTCTTGGCGAAAAGTAATCTGCCTTCTTGGGAGGAAACGGTTTCGTGGTGTGGTGCGGTGCGGTGCGGTGCGGTGCAATGCAGCAACGCATGGCACAGTTTTCTTTTTACGACTGTTAAACCACGTCGGGACAGCCCGACATGGCTATGGCTTAATGACACAAAACTAGCTCCGAAGAGCGGTTAACGATAGGGATAGCGCAACATTCCAGGGACCGAGAAGGGCACATCACGGTTCCTCCAAACAATCTCTGCCCACACTTCGCGTTACCTTCCCCCTCTCTTTCGCCTCGCACAAATGTTGCTATCTCTTACATCCTCGGATCCCGACATCGTCACGCGACCCGCTACTCCCGTCTTATCGCTCACATAATTCCCATCACTCATCGCTCTCACAAACCCCCGTAACATCAACTATTATGGCTCACCCATTGTGTATTCTGCTCCTTGCTGGCCTGCTTCCACGACAAGGTGACTCTTTATTCCATGTGGGATTTCAGAAAAGGCATTCTTAGTTGGAACGCACTTAGCTCGGATTCAAGAGCCATCAAATAAAATCGAAATTATGAGCAAGCCCGTTACTTGAAGTGAAGTCGTATGATTGTGGTGTTAGATGGTGCTCCGCAGAATGTATTTATGGCTTTGCAGGTGTGGCTGAAGAAAGCTGCCGATACCTTAATCCTTAAAATAGCTCCGGTTGATGTAACTGTGGCTGGTTCCATTTGTAGTGGGGCGGGCATCTTTGTCTCATGGTTAATTGATGAAGCCAACTTGTCAGTTTGGTCCATCATGGCAACTTGTGATTGATTTAATTAACCATTTTCCCGGTTCTCTCTTCGCTCTCTACACTTCTTAATCCTCTCCTTATAAGACTTTCTTTCTGGATTATTCACAATCTTTTTATTTACTCACGCTTTTTCTATCTTTCCCCCCCTTAACAGTCCTGGGAATGGCACGCTCTAAGCAACCAGCTATCAAGCGCGAGGCATCCTCAGAGTTCTTCAATAAGACGACTGCAACATGGGAGGATGCTGATCGATCGCAAAAGAGCCTTTCCAATGGCAACATTACGAACAAGGTCTTGCCTGTTCCCGCGTCTGCGCAAGAAGCTGGGCTCTTGCAGCTTGTCATCGCTGTCGCGGGAATCTATGCTTCATTGTAGGTTCAGCCCCAACAGCTCCCATGGCCAAATTGCTCATACAGCCTTTGCGGATAGCCTCACCTGGGCATATCTTCAAGAGAAGCTCACTACCAAGCCATATGGTCCCGCCGACGCCCCGGAAGTCTGGCACTTCCCCGTCTTCCTCAACACCATCCAGTCCGTCTTCGCCGCCATCGTAGGCGCTGTCTATCTCTATGCCTCGACGCCCAGCAACGCCGCCGTTCCTCCAATTATCCCCTCACGCCGCATCCTTGGGCCTCTCGCGCTTGTTGCTGTCACGAGCAGCCTCGCGAGCCCCTTTGGCTACGCATCCCTTGCCCATATCGACTACATCACGTTCCTCCTTGCCAAGAGCTGCAAGTTGCTACCTGTCATGTTCCTTCACATCACTGTCTTCCGCCGTCGATATCCGCTGTACAAGTATCTCGTGGTCTCGTCCGTGACTCTCGGCGTGGCTGTCTTCACGCTGCACTCTGGAAAGAAGAAGGGCAGCAAGGTCCGACCTGACGACGCAAGCACAACATGGGGCCTGCTGTTGCTGGGTATCAATCTCCTCTTTGATGGGTTGACAAACAGCACTCAGGACCATATCTTCCAGACATTCCGACCGTACTCGGGTCCTCAGATGATGTGCGCCAACAACGTCATGAGCACTATTGTCACGGGTGCCTACTTGATCGTCAGCCCTTGGTTGGTCGCTACAGGTCTCGGGGAGTGGTTTGGCATGGACGTCGCTGGCAACGCGGGCGAGCTCAAGGCTGCTTTGGATTTTATGGCTCGGTATCCCGCTATCTGGAAAGATGTTCTCGGTTTCGCTGCGTGCGGTGCCGTCGGCCAGGTCTTTATCTGTAAGTCTCAACCACCCTTCACCATATCAGTATTCCAGGCTAATCATGACCAGTCTACACGCTGTCTACATTCTCGTCCGTTCTTCTCGTCACTGTCACTGTAACACGTAAAATGTTCACCATGATACTATCTGTTCTCGCTTTCGGCCATCGGCTCACTCAGATGCAGTGGCTTGGTGTCGCGCTTGTGTTTGGCGGCATTGGTGTTGAGGCTGGCATCGCGCGACAGGAGAAGATGGCCAAGGAGGCTGCCAAGGCACAGCAAAATGGCAAAAAGGAGCTGTAAATGCATCTGGTTTATTCTCTTTGTCAGTGGGCGATACAATCCAATATGTGTAATGGCTCGAAGGGACAACCGAGGGGAATGAGGAGTATATCATGTGTGAGGGGCATTTATGGGAGTTGTAAACCGATCTCAACCCCTCCCTCATAGTAATTGCAGACAAAAATGCCCAAGTGCATCTGCTTTGGAAACTCAAACGTCATAATCTCTCACATAGAATAAGCGAGGGTCAATACGATGTATAATCCTTTTGATTAACATCTAGATAAGTACTATGTAAAGCCTTCTTCTTCACACGGTCTTGCTGTACCAAGAACCCTTTTGCTTCCTGGAAAAACGCCGTGGTGCTATAACCCAACACAGTAAGTAACTCGTCTTGTCCTTAGCAACACCTGTACATACACAACCCCTTTCCATGACTGGGTATTTGAGCCCTCCCAATGATTCCCTTTGGGTACCTGAAGCCATACGCCACATGCATTTTGTTGTCCAAAATGGACAAAGCGAGAACCAAAAATAAAACTGAAACAAGAGTGACAAGACGGAATGTCTTTGTCTATATTACACTAGGTCATCGTGAACCCATCCGACGCCAGGCGCTGTGTACTGCTGAAAAAGAAAGAGAGAAAAGCGAATGTTTGTTTTGAGGAGGATATAACGATTGGAGAAGATCGGTGACAAAGAAGATGTATTTGGTTATTTGCGTGTCGTCGTGCGGAAGGTTGAGACCATCCGGGATCGAAGGTCGGGTGGAGTGCAGTTATAACTCTGCCCTGTTGCTTAAACGCCTCTGAAATGCTGTGGTTCATATTGTAGAATAGCGAATAGGATTTATAAAATAAAAACAATAGCGATAGTAATTCGTCGTACTTCTTCCCTTGGAAGTTGATTCGTTCGACTTGACAGCGAAACACAAGGTTAAGCTTCATCATAAGAGATCATCAATTGATCGAATAATAGGTGCCTCGCCTTTTGTAGGTGGACTCCTGGGATCTGCAACGACTGGTGGTCTTCCGAAGGTCGAGAAAGGGTCTCGAGGGAACATGCCCGCTCGGGGAGAAAACAAGCCTTGGCTTGGGGTTGGTGGGCTCTCGACGAATCGCATCCCAGCAACCTCATGGACATCATGAAGCGGATTGTTAGTCATCGTCTCGGCTCTCGGTGACAATAGAGCATTATCATCCGGGTATGAGCCAGGCAGAGTTATCGTTCTCTCCACTGGCGCATCACTAAATCTCATTTCCGACGGTGCCGGGTTAAATCGTGGAAAAGTCATGGTCTGGAAGCCAAGGCTTGCCTGAGAGGGGAACCCAGGCGAAGGCGGAGGCTTCATGATCGAGTCCATCATGGGAGACGGGGCTAGAGTTGGTGGTGCCTTGCCCTGGCTTGACACGGGCCTCTTGGGCAAGTCGCCAAGTTTGAAAGGATCCAGGTGTTCTGACGAGTGCTGCTCAACCTCGTCTTTCCAGGTGCAAGTTGGGGGCGCTGAAGCAGGGCCGGGTGAGACCGGTCGGGGCCCAGGTGTTGAATTACCGCGAAGTCGATTCTGGCTCGGATTCAAGTGCGAGTCCTTCGACTCGTCGTTCTGTGTTGGAAGAGGAGCAGTCTGTGGCTCCTTGGTTCCAATGTCGATAGCATCAACAGAGAGTGTGATTCTATGCTTTGAAGGGCTACGGCCAGGACGGGGACGGTGTGACGGTAGCGCCGTTCGCTTAGTTGACACCTCCTTTTGGAAATCCTGCAGCGAGTACATGAGTTTCATGTTCGGGCTGATCCATTGGCTCTTTGCTTGAGCTGCGTAGTAAGCATCATTCACGGTGAGATGCGGCTTCTGGAAAAGGCCGTAGGCAATGATCAGACTCGCAGATCGACTGGCGCCCTGCTGACAATGGACAAGCACACGTTTGCCAGCTTTTGTCCGTTTATCAATAACATCACACAACTCCATAAGATCCGGCGCAATGTCGGTATTGTGGTCCCAAGGAATATGGATGTATTCAGGCTCTTTAAACTGAAAGGCCTTTGGTGTGGTAGGTGTGTCAGCTGAATCCTCCTGGGGGTATTCCCAGGCTGTCATGAAGCTGGCTGTGGACACAGCAGTATCGGGGATGGGACTTTCAATTCCAGAAACAGGGCGTCGCATAGACTGGAACGGCGATTGCGATGATTCATGGGCCACTTTGCGAATTTCAAAAGGGTTGCTGACTTCGCGAGCGCAATTGATGACTACGTCAAACCGCGATGC